GACTAATCTTTTCCTTGTATCCTGTTCTCTTCATTCTCCCTTGCTCCCGAACGGATGATACCAGTGGAGTATCTTAGGTGGCTGCTCACAGGCTTTTAAGACCCCAGACGCTACTCACCAAGGTAGAATGTAAGAGCATTGTCTTTATAAGCTGCAAGCTGACACACATTTTTGGGGAACACAATTCAATCCATAACAATGTCCCTAGTTAGATTTATTCTCAGTACTTTATCTTCTTGGGGGCTATTACAAATGGTATTAATTTGGTGATTTCCTCTTCGAAGTTCTCTTTGCTGGTGCAGAGGAATCCGATTTTTGTATGTTAATCTTGTATCCTGCTACTTTGCTGAAATCTTCTATTAGTTCCAGTAGGTTTCCTGTGGATTATTTGGGGTTTTCTGCGTATAAGATCATATCGTCTGCGAATACGGATAGTTCTACCTCATCCTTATGAATCTGGACGCTCTTTTTCTTGCCTTACTGCTCTGGCTAGGACTTCCCGCACAATGTTGAATAAGAGTGGTGATAAAGGGCATCCCTTGTCTGGTCCTGTTCTCAAGGGGAATGCTTTCAGTCTCTCTCCGTTTAGAATGCTGACTGTTGGCTTTGTATACTTGCCCTTTATTATGTCGAGGAATTTCCCTTCTATTCCTATTTCACTGAGTTTTTAGCAGGAATGGGTGTTGGACTTTGTCAAATGCCTTTTCTGCATTGATTAAAATGGTCGCGTGGTTCTTTTATTTATGTAGTGCATTACATTGACTGACTTTCTAATGTTGAACCAGCCCTGCATACCTGGTATGAATCCCACTTGGTCATGATGTATTATTATTTTTTTCGTATGTTGCTGACTTCTACTGGCTAGAATTTTGTTGAGAATTTTTATGTCTATGCTTATGAGGGACACAGGTCTGCAGCTTTCTTTTTTTTGTGTGTGTGTCTTTGCCTGGCTTTGGTATTAGGGTTATGCTGGCTTCAAACAATGAGTTAGGGAGTATTCCTTCCCTTTCTATGCTCTGAAATAGCTTGAGTAGTACTGATGTCAGCTCTTCTGTGAAAGTCTGGTAGAATTCTCCAGTGAAGCTGTCTGGGCCACGGCTTTTTTTGTCGGGAGTTTTTAAAATTACCTCTTCAATCTCTTCTTTTGTTATGGGTCTGTTTAGTTTTTCTAATTAGCTGAACTCTTACTGCTGTATTTTTAAGAATGACAGATAAGTATTAGAAACTACACCCATACTCTCACTGCAAAGCACACATTTAGTAATGTTTGCTCTGTCTGGTCCTGCCTTCCCAATTGCTTTTGTTTCTTCCCCTTTGCTTTTCAGCCTGCAGTTTCTCTGGAAAAGTTCAGTTTCACCCCCAAGCTTCGCACTTTCCCCAGAAAGGGCTCAGTCACAGAAATTCTGCTACCCGTAGAATGAAGAGTATCAGCGCTGCTGTGGGCAAGGCGCATCCAACCACAGAACCTACGTGAGGGTAAATCTGGGAGAAGAGAGCTAGGAAAGGACAGGGAGGTCAACAACACCAGACTGAGGCCCAGAAACCTCCACTTATCGGCTGTGTGCCTGGGGTGGGTAAAATGAAGACAGGCACTTCCTCCCTTACTGCCTGTGACTCTCCCTTCAGCTGGCCTCTGCTCAGAGAAGGGGTGGCTCCCTAGTCTCCTTCCACAAACTGTCCTCTCAATCTGGGTTCCCTGAGCTCACACTGATAGAAGGCTGAGCAGAGAGGTGCTCTGCAACCAGAAAGGTTGCAGCAAGTCCACCCACCACTAAGCGCACTGGGAAGCCCACCACCTCCCTCTGAGAAACAGGGACACCTTCCCTGGTGGGTTTGTGGTGTGTGTGAGACAGAAGTATGCATGCAGAGCGTAGGCAGGCTCATGAGATGTGAGTTACCAGTGGGAATACGAGCATGGAGAACAGGATGGTCCCCAAACATACGGTTCAGTAGCTAGCCTAAAGGGTCAGTCCCATCACGTGGCCTTAAAAAAGATGCTGTGTTAGCACACATATTTGTTCACAGCTTAGGGTGGCCAATAACTCAGCTAGCGAGTTGTAGGCACACTGTCCTGGGATGGGCAGGCACTGAGGGCACCAGCTACCTGCACTGGACCTACTGAGGCCAAGCCTCAGTGGCGGGCGGGGCCAAAAGTGCCTGACCACCAGCGCCCTGGATGGCAGGTCCAGCACTCTGTGTTCCCAGTAAGCTCAGAGCCCACCAGGATCCATATGAATAGGGACTTATCATTTTACAAATGAGATTAAGGCTCAGAGAGGTTAAGAAACTTGCCCAAGGTCACAGAGCCTCCGGGGGCAGTGTTGCGATTCATACGTGTTCTAACTCCAAGGCTAAACCACACAATACTCCTCTCTGCCTTGCAGCAGAAGTCCATATCCCCTTTCTCAGTCTGTTACTGGGGCAGGTATTAGCAAAATAATCCATCTTACCCTCAGTGGGTTGTGGGGCAGCACGTGGACTTTAAGCCCATCAGTGTCACTGCAGCCAGTGAATGAACACGAACACCATAGGGGGCAAAGTCTACGGAGATCCTCCTTATATCTCTACAGGGCAGATTTTTTTTGCACCAAATTTAAGAAAAAATGAACTGTTTTTTAGAGCTGTTTGGGTTTCATAACTGCAGATGATGAAACGAGCCCAACCCTAGCCTGGATAGCCACACTCCCAAGCCCCGTCAGATGCAGTGCGTGCTATCCCAGAAGCGGCACTAGCCTCTGCGTCTGCTCTCTCTGGCCATATGTGGGCACCTCACTGACACAGCCACACCAAGCACCATCCCTACCCTCCAGAGACTGGGCTGTGGGGTGCATGGGGGGTGGCATGAGCCGAAGGCTGTGAGTCTCTGAGCCTCGGCAGGTGGCGAGGTGGCCCAGGGGTGTCATGGTCCTCTGTGCTGGTCCTCACATGGTGGTGATGGCAGCTGCAGGGTCCTGCCCTGGCACATCCAATGCCTGGCAGGGATGGACATTTAAGAGTTTGCAGAAACAGCCCCCAGTGTGACAATGGGAGGATTGTCCACCCCTCCGGTCCTCCCTCCCAGCATTGCCCATAGGCAGGCTGTGCTCATGCTGCTCTCCCTCACCAGGACACCACACACACTCTGCTGACACCCGCTGCCTGCTGCCACACCTACCTTTTCTGTGTGGTCACGACCACAGTAGTTTTTGTGGGCGCTGACACTTGGGAACTTTTCGACTTTTTCCAAGAGAATGGTTCTCGGACCCCTATTAGTGCTTCCTCGCCACTGACCACGTTTGTGTCCAGGTACCGCCCAATGATGAAGTCAGAAAAACAAAGCAGGAGAAGCTCCCTGCAGCGGCCAGAGTTTCTTGGAAAAAAAAACAAAAACAAAATTTAGTTTAGGTCGTCAATAAAGTAGGCAGATTCAATGCAATTTCCCTTCTGTACAGACAAGAAAAGTCGCAAAGCTAACAGCACCTACCCTCTGTTTTTAACAACTCTTTCTCTGAGGAAAAAAGGGACTTTCTAAAATAAACAATGTAAAAACTTCCCAAGATAAAAGCAAGCACCTAAAATTGTCTTTTCCATACTTCTCCAACTTAAGAACGAGAAAAACATTTTCAGTATTCCCAAGTTTACTGTGCACTTCACTTTGTGCCCAATTTCTTGCTTTTGCTTTGATACCATACTGCGTACACTACGCATTATGCTCATCTATTTCTATATTGTCACAAACCCAGAAAACCACACCCACTGCCACTGAGTCGGTTCTGACTCACAGCAACTCTATAGGACAGAGGAGAACTGCCCCATAGGGTTTCCAAGGCTGTAAATCTTTACGGAAGCAGACAGCTGCATCTTTCTCCTGCAGAGCGGCTGGTGGGTTTGAACTGCTTACCTTTTCAGTTAGGAACCGAGCGCTTCACCACTGTGCCACCAGAGCTCCTATACTGTCATAACATTTCTAAAATACCATTTTAAATGGCTGCACAAGCGCACAGCGGTCACCTATGGTTTGATGTTGATAGGTCTGAAGCAAGGTGGTGATTTAATCAGATTTGCATTTTTAGAAAGGTTTACAGTTAGCCAATCTAGATGACTGATGAAGAAGAAGGCCCAGCTGAAAGCTTACCCATCGTTCAGAGCAGCCTGCAAGCAGCGGGCCGCACAGCAGCCAGGCCAGGGCATTCCGGACAAGCGGAGGGAGGGTTGAAAAGAGGAAAGGGGTCCAGTTACAGCTCTGGGTGGCCGGCTAGATGCAGTCAGCCACGAGAGGGCGGCAGCAGGTTTCTGGTAGACCAGAGAAGTTGGAGTCTGAGTTTCAGCAGGGAACACAGCCTGACGGCCCTGCCTGGCCCACCCTGTCCTCAGCAAAGCCTGCAGTGTGGAAGCCACTTCTCGGCCCGGGGTCACATTGGACAAGGGGCCTCAGGGCTGAGCCGGCCACCAGTGAGTGTGGGACACAAGGACAGGCAGTAAAAGGACAGGCCAAGCTAGAAGGACTTAAGACAAGGGCGCCCGCCCCAATGTCTGCGTTCTCAGTAAAGGAGGAGACTGGACCATCTGCTGGGGATGGGGGCTTACAAGGCATCCACATCCCAGGCTACTAAAACTCAGCTCAGCCATTTTCTAAAGCAATGCTTTGTCTTATGATTCTGTCACATCAAAGCAGGTGTGAACAGTTTTTATAACATCCAACCTGGAAGCATCATAGATCAAACTTAAAAACAAATGCACCGATGCCCCAAACCTAACCACCTTCTGGCCCACAGACACGTACTTTGCATTGCATGTAATCACCACGGAGGTCTTTCCGCCTGGGGGGATCGGCCTGTTGGGATCTGGGGCCTGCCTCGAGAGCCCAGCCTCTTCTTCCCCGCTTCCTCCTTCACGGGTGCAATCGCCTGGTCAGATGAGATTTAAATCCAAAATCAGGCCACGAGGTAAGTTCTCTCTAACACGGTGCGCTCACACAGGTACACAGAATCCTCACACACACAGCACAGGCCAGATCGTCAGCCACTGGCTGAGAGAAGCAAACGATAAAGCGGTCAGCAACAGGACGGGTATAGCCCGAGGTGCCCAGGTTCCTGGGGAGGAGGGCACCCAACGCCAAGACCACACAGGTTGGGGCACTCCGGGAGCCTCTCCCCAGCTCACAAACACTCACAGGAGCCTCTCAATCTGAGGCTGTTCTGGGTATCTATCCCTCTCCCCCACCCTGAAAGTCACGAGGTGAAGGGCAGGCAGGTAGGGCCCACGTCCAGCTCAGAGCATGGAAAGCAGCGGTGCCTGGCCCCTGCACCCGCTCTCCTCTCTGGGGTGGCACTGGGTTTGGAGTCTGCCCTCCTGAAGGGTGCTGTGACCCACCGACACCCAGATCCCTGAGGAGGTCCACCTGGAGCTCCCAGGTGGCAAAGCAAACTCAGCCGAGTGACCAGCATACTGGACCTCCCACAGTAGTGGCTGCGAGGCCCACCTGGAGCGCCTTCCCTGCTCCTCCCCAGGCTGCCCTCCAGAGTCTGGCAGGGCTGGCTTTTTCTGCAGCTACTCAATGAGCTCATGGTTCCATCTGAAAACTCCTTCCCCTTCTCAGGAACAGAAACCGCGGAGGATGTGGGGCCTGTTGGGTCTTCACCAGGCATGTGAACACTGAATTGTTTGGTTTTATCCCAGCCGGCCAGTCTGCAGCTGACTAAGTGCTGAGGAACATCTCCTTTATTCCTGGAGAGAAATCGGACATCAGCACAAACAGCATTTCTAACGCTAGACTACTCCATTACCATGAAACACAGAATTCAAGCTAACTAAGGAATGGCAATCAAAAATATCTTAATGAATATACGAAAAATGTGTTTTTTAGACTAACAATTTTGTGTGTTCCAATAAAATTGTATTCACGGACCATAAAACTTGAAATCTGTGTACTTTTCACACATCACTGGCAGTGTTCATCCTCTGATCTTTTTTCAACCACTGAAAAATGTACATACCTTTCTCAGTGCACAGATCACAGAGAAACAGGTGGTGGGCTGGGTGTGGCCCAAGAGCTGCAGTCTGCCAAGCCCTGGTCTAGCGGGTGTTGGGAGAACACCCCTCAGGGGAGCGGGCAGTAGTCTGCATCCCACGCTGGCTGCCTCTGTCCTGGCACTTCCATATTAGAACAGGGTGATTGGGACTGTAGGTGTCATGGCCAGGTGCCCTCAGCCTGCAGAAACCTGCTCCAGCATTGGGAACTGTGGAGATTGGGGGGCGCTTGGGGCAGGGGCAAGGGGCAGGGAAGCTCTTCCTTTTCCTTTCTGCTTTTTCTTATGCTTAAGACAAGGATTAAATGTTTTTCTGATCCTTAATGGGATCTCAACTGTCTGAGCATTGGGTCTGCTGGGTACTGTGGCTGTTTTTAATCTTTGAAAATGAAAAGGAATTTTACTCCAGGTTGATGTGGCCTGGGAAGCTGGGATTACACAGCAAGGCAGGTTGGAACACGCCTAAAATGAACTTCACCTGTTTTGAAATAGGATCGTGTGGTTACTTGCTGTCGAGCAAACAAAAAAATTTTGAAAAGATTTTCATAAAGGAAAAAACAAACAGGCAAAGTTAGTAGCTCTACAGAAATTCTTAAATTGGTTTTTATAAACAACCAGCAGTGTAATTTTATTTAAAACTTTTATTTATTTTTAAAAATTTTATTTAAAACTAAAAGTGCCAAACTTACTCTATCCAGACCACCATATTTTTACTTCCTCCTTCTTTCAGAGTTCCAAAATTCGTCATCCTTGTAACCTCAACGTCTCCTTTGTTCTTCAGTAACAGGGTTCCGCAGACGTCATCCGCACTCTCGCCAAGGATACTAAGTTCTCTGGAGAAAGCAACCAGAGACACGGGGCGTCACTGACAGAAGGCGGCATCCCCTGAACTTCCCTGCACCTCCCTAACCACAGACACCCCAAGATGACCATGGACAAGATACAGTATTTTTCCAACGCTTAGAATTTCTAAGAAAGACAGCAACTCACCTTAAAGAAAGTGACAAATCCTGTAAAATATAAGGGGA